CTCTCCTGAGATCTCAGAAGCACCAAACTGCCTCACTGTCTTTGGAATCTCAAATTTACATGGATTCCTTGTACATACACCTATTAAATTTGATTTTCTCCAGTTAATGTGTCTCATGTTCATTTGATTCTAAGTTCAGCTAAAAGGTGAACCAGAGGAAGGTCTTCTTCCCCAACAGAGATAAAGTCACAAAGAGCCAGTTAATAGCAAAGGTAACTTAGCTTTCTTTTGGCCTCGTGTGTGTGTGTGTGTGTGTGTGCATGTGCATGCATATGTTTTCCAGAAGTTGGACCAAATAGACACTGGGCCCAAAATTATCATAACAATATCACAAGCTCACACTCCATCCTGATGGTACATACCAGATTTATTTTTTTGATTAAAAAACATATATGTATGTACAAAAAAAATAAATCCTAAAGGATGTACATTCTTATTTGACTTGCATTTCAGTTGGAATCACATAAACAGAAAAGACATACAAACAGAAGACACTCTAAAGGAATGGGATGATGCTAAACTGGTAAAAACCATGACATAAAAGTTTTTTGTTTTTTTGTTTTTTTAATTCTAAAAGAACGAGGGATCCCTGGGTGGTGCAGCGGTTTGGCGCCTGCCTTTGGCCCAGGGCACGATCCTGGAGACCCGGGATCGAATCCCACGTCGGGCTCCCGGTGCATGGAGCCTGCTTCTCCCTCTGCCTATGTCTCTGCCTCTCTCTCTCTCTTTCTCTGTGTGACTATCATAAATAAATAAAATAAAATAAAAATAAATAATAAAATAACGAACTAGGGGTGGTGGAAGGGGAGGAGGGCAGGGGGTGGGGGTGACTGGGTGGCAGGCACTGAGGGGGGCACTTGACGGGATGAGCACTGGGTGTTATTCTGTATGTTGGCAAATTGAACACCAATAAAAAATAAATTTATTATTTAAAAAATGAAATAAATAAAATAAATAAAATAAAATAACCACTTTTCTTCACATTTTAGTATTTCATTAGGGTTCTTTTCAAGTAATGCATATTTAATGTAGCAGTTTTTTTTAAAAAGTCTCCAATAACTCTTATTACATTATTGGTGCCTTTTATGCTTCATAGTATCTTAGAACTAATGAGATTTGATAAGCTCAATCTTTTGGCCTCTGGACCACAGATTGGTATGACATAAACACATCCAGGGAAGCCCCCATAGTTTCCAAATATTTTTCCTCATCCTGCTGAAATTTTCTCCCATGTGGGTTTTAGAAAGTATTCCTTATGCCCTGTGAGGAACAGGAATATCCTGACAATAGAGTAGGTAAAGTACACTGGGGAGTCTTTCACCCTATCCCCTTCCTTGAAAATTATTGGCCCATCCTGCCAGGCTTGAGCTTCCATCTACAGCACAGAGCAAAATAGCATCCCCTACAGAGGAGGAAAGGGACAAGGGGACAGACTCTCTAATATCATTCCTAAGAACTAAACAGACTCACCCAGCATCTTTCTAGAAGCATGTATTTTCTTGTGCCATCTTTAAAATATTTCTATGAGAATGTAAAGGGCTAAGAGAAGGTAAAAGCTAGACATAATCCCAACTCGTGAACAGTAGGTTTTACACAGGAGTTTTGCTCTCCTACCAGCAGCTCAGAGCAGCTCACAGTGGACAACTGGCACCTACAAGGTGGGCAGGGGGTGGGCACACACCTCAGGGACACACAGAAGAGGAATGTAGCCACTGCCTGGAGGTGGTGTGACACAACACGACATCACATGCTGAGAAATGTACTTGCTTAAATTCCTGTTCAATCCTTTTTTCTTATATCAAGGATAAAGCCTCAATGTGGTGCCACATGTCTTAATCAGCTGTCTAACACTCGGGAATCTCCTCATTTAACAAAGAGAGAATAAGCCTCAGGTTCAGAGCCATTATCAGGAAATAGCATCTACCTTGAATTAATTTGTGATAATTTACTTTCACTAAGTATGTTTGTGTTTCCTTTCTCATCGTGGTAGGTGGCATGATTTTCCCATTTAAAATAGTGGCAGGGTTTCCTTTCAAAACTTATGGTTTAAAAGTAAGTCAATTCAAAGATATTAAATGTACATTAATATACTACATATATCAATTCTGCCAATAGATATGGCAAAAAAACTGTATACGGGGCACACGGATGACTCTCATGTCACTTTGGGGATTGACTAGATCCTGTTGCTTCCAAACATCCTCAAAAGAAAGTAGCATTTTACCTGACTGGTGTGTGAAGTCACGCCTTTCCCAGGTATGCGAGCATAGGTAATCCCCAAATCCACCAGCACTGGTTTTATCCTGGTACTGACTGTGGCTCCTTATTCCCTTCTACATGGAGTTCAACCTTTTGCTTCTGATGAGAAAGCATCCTTTCATAATTCCATCTACTCCACTCAGGCAGGTTATCTCGCTGTCCCACATATAATACACACATTCATTTCTACCTGAATACCCTTCTTTATGTTGTACTCCCTAACACCCCTGCTGGAATGTGCTTCAAGAAAAAGCTTCCACTCTTCCTTGTATCAAGCCCAGAGCTCTTGCTATTGCATCAACATGCTGCGACTCAAAGCATGTGTATGTAATAAAGAACTTTTTTCCAAGACTTTGTTTGCAGAAGGAAAGTAGAGTGATTGAATACATTGTTCTATAGTGAGTTTAATTGCCACTATAATCTGATCAGTCTCTAACCAGCTAATCGGCACTTAACTGGTTGCTTTAATTTTATTACAAAGCAGCTAAAATGCAGCTGTGGCTAGACACGACACAAATAAATAAAATGCATTATTATTTTTATTATATTCATGCATATGAGTTTTATTTTACTTTTGTCAAAACTATACTTACTTCCACTCCACTAGTAATTTGTTTGTATTAAACTGGTATTGTGCATTTGTATGGTGAAAACAGAAATGTCTATTCATTGCCAAGTGTAAGTTGTATAATAAGTTTTTAGATGTACGCATCTCCATTTGCCAAATAATCTTGTAGTTCATTTAAATATTTGTACAGTGCTTCAATTACTGACATTGTTTCTATTAATTAATGATACTGGGGTTAGTTCTAAGGAATAAATAAACATAAAAGTAGAAACAAAGGAACAAGTTCATGCTTACAAAAGGAATCTGACTTCATCACCTTGAACTATAAGTGTTGCCACACAATTCTCCAGAGAATAAGGCCCAGCAGCATTAATAAAATTCTGACTAGTTTAGATTTGAACATAGGTACAACAGGTTCCAAAGTCCTATGTAAGTATTTGAACAACCTGACCTTATTTCAGCTTCTTCAGAGAACTATCAGGAACAACCCTAGAATCAACATAAAAAATCATGTCTTTTTGTAAAAAAAAAAAAAAAAAAAAAAAAAATGTTATAGGCAGTACCTGCCTAAAAGGGCCCAGAAAACCACCACAAAGTGAAAAAGATATTAATAATAAAATCACACCTCAAGACTGGTCTTTGGACCTTTGGCATCCTTATGCATGACCTCCAGGCTACTTACTTTTAAGTCTCAAATTTTTGATCTGTAAAATAGGAATCATAGCAGCTACTTACACATTAGTATGAGCTTTAAATAAGACAATGCCCTGGGGCTCTAGCCAAGGAGTCCAACTGCTCCTTCAGCTACTGAGATCTCTGAGCCTTACTCAGCACAGCCAGTGCTGCTCAACTCTTAGTCTTCTCTTCATCCTCCTGAAGTTCACCGATCCAACAAATGCTCATTGAGTACCTCTGGTGGGCCAGCCACCAGGAGAGGCACCCGCTACACACAACACTGAAGGTCCAATATGAAACGAAAAGCCATTTCTCCAATGAGAAAGAGGATGACTACATTTGTCTTTAAACAAAACATGCTCACATAGATAATTGTATTGAAACCAAGATCAAGCCACCTATGGAAATATTCAATGGAACCATCCATTAATGAAGAAATGACCCCTTAGTCCAAGCTTCTCCTTTTATGTGTGATAAATGAAAACTTGTTTACTCATTAGCACCAGAACAGTGCTTGTTATTTACATAGTATTGTGGCAGTTCTGAAGTATTATTTTGTGTAGTAAAGTTCAAGCCCACTCTGACTAGGTCTAAAGATCTACCTGCCTGAATATCACTACCCCATCACAGAGCCACTGAGTCCATCTACCAGAAAGAAGATGGCCAATGAAAGATCTCTACATAAAAAACACGAGCCAGTAGCTTGGTTTCATTCTTGTCCTGGATCTTTAAACTGTTTCTACCCCACACACACACACACAGATGACAGTCTGAACACTCCTTACATGTGTGCAGTGAGTGGCATGAAAGGTACTCTAGCTCTGTTCTAGGCAGTCACATAAGGCTTCCTTACTTTGCTCCTGCACAGGGTCCTGATTTAATCCCTATTCCTGTTCTGCCTGGCTTCAGAGCTCTTGGCAGGATGCCACATTATTACCTGACCCTCTCCTGTTCTATCTAATGACTCATGCACTGAACGGCCCTCAAAAATGACCTCTGCCAATCATGGGTCCATACCCAAATCTAGGGCTTCCTCTCTGACTGGCAGCCTGGGTGGGCTTTCCATAGCCTTCAGAAAAGAACAGCCAAGGAGAAGAGAGGTCAAAAAGAAAGTCAGCTCTCACACAAAAGAAAGATGGGTTATGAACTAACTGTGAATTTTGGAATATAAGTCACACGTTCCCTGCTCTTCATTCTCCAAATCTGTGAATTGGGAGTCACCTAAATCGCCTTCCATACATATATACATGTATTATCAAAGCAAAAATATGTCTTTTATCAAAGCCAACAAAACCTTCTCACCTTCTCCAATTACACCAACTTGATTACTCCACCAAAAGGCGCTTGACTTTGCTAAAACAAATAAAAAACAAAGAAATACCCCTGTGCTTTGCATTGAGTGGAGGATAACTATTGAATTGCTGGACAATTTTTAACATGGGGGCAAATGTGTATCCATTGTTTATTAACATCTGTAGCTCTCTTATGACCAGTTTACCTGTGCCAAAGCTGAAGACAATGAGCTGGGGTGGTGGTAAAGGATCATTACATTCCAAAAACTTCTGAAAGAAGGAACACCATTTTTCTCTGGCTAGCTAAATCTAAAAAAAAAAAAAAAAAAATCTGTGAAAAAAATGCCAAAAGTTCTTATAAAAACTTTAAGACTAGATGACAAAGCATGACCACCACTCCTACTTCCTCCAACTATGGAAGACATTATTAAATGATCACAGAACTCTTTCCACTGTGTCTATACATAGCCTTCAAATGCCTCCCAATTTAGCATCTCAGGTAAATGTTGGCAACCAATCATACTTAGCATGAAAAGAGTTATTTGGAATTTCTGCCTTATGAGACTGACTCTGTTATCTTCACTGCTATTTTGAGTATTAAGAATCAAGAATATCAAAATGTCAATACTTATATAAAATAAAATAGGAAGGGGATCTTGCCTGTAGGAACATGGCTCTGAATATTAATAGAAGATTTCAACCCTGAAACTCTCCAGAAGTTTCTTTCTTATCACTCTAAAGTCTGACTTTTGCTCCCCTTGCTCCGTCTTCCCTTTCTAAAGCATAAAGGCCGCTCCCCAGTCCAAAGAGTTTCAGGTTGAGTTCTGGCCAATTGTTGTGGCACCTCAGAGTCTCACACTTCAGAGGCTGAATGTAATCTTGAGATGAGGTTGTAAATGCAGAGTGAGAGAGATGCAGAGGCAGCCCACGCTGCTGAGCACAGAGGGGACTTGAGGAATAGAAGGCTGGTGGGGTTCCCAGTTGCTACAAAGCAGAGGGGACTGGAGGCCATCTGAGGGAAAGAGGCTATGAAGTCATAAGTAGAGATAGAGAGGGTGTGCCCATCCACAAATAGGGTCATCAGAATCCTGAGCCAGTGTCATAGTAAGGTTGGCAGAAAACCAAGAGAGTAGAAAATAGCTCACGCAGGAAGTAACACAGTTGGAAAAAGAAGAGAGAGAAATATGTAGCAAGCAAGCAAAGAAGCATTACTAACGAGCAGCCATGACTGGAAACAGACCTGGGGGATGAAGGTTAACAGGGAGGTACCCACCAAGAGGAAGAAGCAAAAACCAAAGGGACAAACTGTGGCTCTGTAATGCTTGACACACAAAATCAGAGGTGTGCCGAGTACATGGAAGCACCATGTGAGGAACTCAGTAGGTATTTCTTGTTTTACTTGAATTTTTTATGTTAATGTCACTGTGGAAACAGAATTATTGTTCTGAGACATAAGAAGAGCTTCTATCAATTTGAGAGCCCAGATAAAACCAAATACCCATTCTAGTCAGACTATAATTTGGGCTGGCAGTGCAGAAATTCTTTGTTAAACCCACCCTATTGGACCTGAAGGTCAACCCCATCATAACAGGGTGCCGCAGAGAGTCATTCTTCCTAACTAGTTATCGATTTGTAAAAAATCATGAGTGTCTTATATCAAATGACTGCTCCTGAATTGTTACCTTGGATCAACAGAGAGTAAATATTGGCATTTTCATATGGCAATCTGCTATTGGGGAATAATCTAGCCTTCCTGGAGGGATGGAAATAAAGCACATAACAGTCATTTACCAATCATATAATATTAGACACCAGTAATTTGTCATTCACTGCAGTGTTCTAGAATCATTAGAGGAGACATTCAGCTGCTCTCAGATATACCAGGTCTGATCATATAGGAAACGCCATTCTGCAGGCTGAATGTACCAAGCCTGTGCTAAGGTTTCATCACTTTAGACTGAAAGTTAATGACCAGTGCAAACCACCACACTATTACAGTAAAAGAGCAGCAGTACAAAGGGCCTAATAAATCAAAAATTTAAATGGGATATTCATTTTAGTTATGGTTATTAGAGCAAAGTGATGGCCCAATTTACTTACACAATGACTTACATTGATCGTAACAGTATTTTAAGTGATATTACCTGTTAATTGGTTAAGCAAATATTCGATTAGTACCTACTATGTGCATGACTACCAGATTATCTGAGGCATATTCAGACATAAAAGAGATAATCTCTACCTTCAAGAGGCTTGTAATCCGTTAGGGAAAGAAGACCTTTTGCAGAACTCTTGTACAAAGTTAAATATGACTACACAATATAAAAGGTGTACAAAGAAAATGCTTCAAGACTATGAAAGGAGACATGACATATAGTCATTTTATAAAGAAAGTCAGGTAAGACTGTATATAGAAAAATCATTTGCACATATGTTAAAGAAAAAGAATATACTTTGGAGAAGCCAAAGTTGCAGGGAAAGAATACCCAGTCACAAAAACAAGTAACACAGGTGGGCTGGATAATCTATTGTCAACCCCTATCACCAACTCCTTCTCAGCAATCTATATTGCAAAGCTGATAATGAGGACTACATTTTCCAGAATACCCTTCCCTAGTGGAGCCAGCCAATGAGAAAACAGTGAGAAGATATGGAAGGCAAAGAGATGGAGGAGCCATCCTTAGAAGTCAAACAAGTGTGTACAAATTAGATCTTCTTCACTTTCCACTAAGAGAGTGGGTTATAATGAAGTGGTTAATTCAATATGGCCTTGCTTTCTGTATTGAAACTATAATGTGTCTCTGAGTTACTAACACCCATGTCACTGATTCACGATTGTGGAAACTGCCTAGATTCTTCTTTTTCATGTACTTTATTAGCATTAGTTGACTTATGTATATATTATCACCTGTTTGAATATCTATAGGACCTATTAACATCACATCTCTTGTAAACTCACCCCAGAAATGCTGGTGTTTGTTTTGTTTAATTCATTATATGAATCTGCATATAAACAAACATAAACAGAAGCAATTCTAAGTCACTATAGGAAATTCGTGAAAGCCATACCTGGTGTCAAAATATTTCATCACATTTAATGACTATGATATACATAAGTATGCTAAATCACTTTCTCCTCCATTCCTTTTTATTTTTTTTAATTATATAAGCAATATTCTCTTGGAAAAAATAAGTGATTATAGCAAGGGTGCCAGATTTGAAATTTAAAAAACAATACCATTTACATTAATATCAAAGTATGCAATATTTGGGTATAAATCAAACAAGCTATGTCCAACATATATATGAGAAAAACTACAAAACTCGAATTATGAAAGAAATCAAAACAGATCAAAAGAGAAAGAGGAAGAGATTCCAAATAACTTGACAGGAAGACTAAATATTGTAAAGATGTCGGTTCTCCTGAAATTAATTCACAGATTCAGTGCGATCTCAATAAAGATCCCAGCAAGCTATCTTGTGGATACCAACAAACTGATTCTAAAGTTTATATGGAAAGGCAAAAGATCAAGAATATCCAACAAAATATTAAAGGAGAATAACAAAGTCAGAAGACTGACATACTGAATTTCAAGATTTACTACAAATCTACAGTAACCAAGACACTGTGATATTGGCCAAAGAACAGACAAATAAATCAGTAGAAAATAATTAAGAGCCCAGAAATAGAAACACAGAAATATAGTCAAATGATCTTTGACAAAGGAACAAAGGCAACCAAATGGAGAAAGGATACACCTTTCTATCTTTCATTCTTTCGTTCTTTCTTTCTTTCTTTTAGAAAGAGAAAGAGCATGTTGCAGAGGGACAGAGGGAGAGAGAGAAAGAATTGCAAGCAGAATCTCTGCTGAGTGTGAAGCCTGATGCAGGGCTTGATCCCACAACCCAGAGATCACAACCTGAGCTGAAATCAAGAGTTGGACACTCAACTGAGCCACTGAGGGGCCCCAAGATACTGTTTTCAACAAATGGTGCTGAAACTACTGAACACCATATGTAAAGGGAAGAAAAAAGGAACAGAATATAGACACAGACCTTATACTCTTCATAAAAATTAGCTCAAAATGGATCATAGATGTAAATGCAAAACGTAAAACTAGAAAACAAGATAAAAGAAAATCTAGATGGTTTTGGTTATGGCAACGACTTTTTAATATAATACCAAAGGCAAGATCTATGAAAGAGACAGTTGATAAGCTGAACTTCCTTAAAATTAAAGGAGACCCCTGGGTGGCTCAGCGGTTTAGTGCCTGCCTTTAGCCCAAGGCATGATCTTGGAGTCCCGGAATCGAGTTCCACATTGGGTTCTCTGCATGGAGCCTGCTTCTCTCTCTGCCTGTGTCTCTGACTCTCTCTCTCTGTCTCTCATAAATAAATTAAATAAAATCTTAAAAAAATAAAATTAAATAAAATCAAAAACTTCTGCTCTATGCAAGTCACTGGCAAAAGAATGAGAAAATAAGCCATAGACTGGAAGAAAATATTTTCAAAAGACACATCTGATAAAGAACTGTTACCCAAAATATACAAAGAACTCTTAAAATTCAAAAATGAGAAAATGAACAACCCAATTTCAAAATGGGCAAAGACTTGGACACCTTATCAAAGAAGAGATAGCAAATAAACATATAAAAATTTTTTTAATTAATTTATTTATTTATGATAGTCACAGAGAGAGAGAGAGAGAGAGGCAGAGACACAGGCAGAGGGAGAAGCAGGCTCCATGCACCGGGAGCCCGATATGGGATTCGATCCCGGGTCTCCAGGATCGCGCCCTGGGCCAAAGGCAGGCGCCAAACCGCTGCGCCACCCAGGGATCCCCAAATAAACATATGAAAAAAATGCATCAGAAGTCATTAGTGAATTACAAATTAAAATAACAATGAGATACCACTACACATTTATTAAAATAGTGAAAATCCAAAACACTAACACCACCAAATCCTGGAGAGGATGTGAAGCAACAGGAACTCTCATTTATTGCTGGTTGGAATGCTAAATGCTACACAGCCACGTTGGAAGAAAGTTTGGCAGTTTCTTTCAAACTAAACAGATTCTTACTAAATTATCCAACAGCCATACTCCTTGATATTTACCCAAATGAGTTGAAAATTTATGTATACACAAAACTGCAAACAAATGTTTAACGTAGCTTTGAATTGTTAAACTCATAATTGCTAAAATTCATAATTCATAATTGCTAAAACTTAGAAGCAACTGATATCCTTCAGTAGCTAAATGGATAAACAAACTGGTACCTCAAGACAAGAGAATATTACTCAGTGCTA